CTTAAAGTACAAGATCAAAGGCGGCTAAACAGACAAGACAACTAAATTTAAAATCTGATTCTAGCCCAGATGTTGTTCTGGGGAACAAAAATAAGTATGTTATAAAGACCATCATTGGTTGGGTGTGGTGGTACACACCTGTAATCTTAGTGAGAGTGTGAGGCAGGAGGATCACAAGTTTGAGGCCCTTAGCAACTCAGCAAAAATTAAAAAAATAAAAAAGGAGTGGATGTAGGTCAAWGGTAAAGTGCCGCAAAGTTCGATGCCCAGTACGAGGGGTGTTATTGATAATATTAATTCCCCTCAATGAAAAACCCAGGACCTTGTACAGTCTAGGCAAGTGCTCTACCACGGAGGCACATCCCAGTGCTACATGAAAATAACTGCATCAATATAAACTTGTGAAGTTGACAACCATACTGTGGTTATAGGAAAGATTATCTCTAATCTTAAGGAAAAAGGAAAATGGGTCATATGCGTGATTTACCCTTAAATGATTTAGGGAAATATCCCATAGGTATGTATATACATATGTGTAAATGCATACACACAGCATGAGAATGATAAAGCAAAGAGATTGAATATCAACAGGCAAATCTGATACATGTTCTTTTATGTTTTTATGTTATTCTATCATTCGCCACTCTTTGGAGAGTTTGGAACTACTTCTTCAAGAAGACTGTGTTGGGCTGCGGTTGTGGCTCAGTGGCAGAGCGCTCGCCTAGCACATGTGAGACACTGGGTTCGATTCTTAGCACCACATAAAAATAAATAAAAGATGTTGTGTTCAACTACAACTAAAAAAATAGACATTTTAATAAAATAAAGGTATTGTGTCTATCTACTAAAAAAATATAAAAGAAAAAGAAGATTACATCCTGTTTGAAGGATGCTCTTGTCCTCACCTCTCCTGTGATCACAATGCTGACCCTCTAGCCCTGCTAGGCCCCCAGCTTCTGAAGTCTCAGAGCACCTCTCTGTGTATCCCTCCCCCACAGCAGGCATAAAGACCCCCTTGWACAATCAATCCTCTTCCTATGTGTATACATCTTTACAGGGAAAAGGTGAGCTTTCTCAAATTTGCCACCCAAATTTACCTGGGCCCAAACTGTGACTGCCACCTGCTCAACTTTCAAGGCTCAAGGCACCCTTCAGCCCCTTCAGGGAGCCCCCCTACTCCCATGTGGGTCTAGGTGCCTCCCTTGGGCCTCTCACAGTCCCCAAACATTCCGTGATGACAGTGTTCACTTACTCCTATCTCACTAAAAGGGGAACCCCATGAGGGCAGGTCCTGACCCTGAAAAGCTAAATGAAATAAATTTTTGCAATGAACAATTATACTGTGATTATATAAAAAAAAAATATCTTGGAGCCAGGTGCAGTGGTGCACACCTGTAATCCCAGTGGCTTGGGAGGCTGAGGCAGGAGGATCGAAAATTCAAAGCTAGTCTCAGCAAAAGTGAGGAGCTAAACAACTCAGTGAGACCCTGTCTCTAAATAAAATACAAAACAGGGCTGGGGATGGGGCTCAGTGGTTGAGTGCCCTGWGTTCAACCCCTGGTATCCTTCCTCTAAAATCTCGGGGCTGGAGTTGTAGCTCAGTGGTAAAGCACTTGCCTAGCACTTGTGAGGCACTGGGTTTGATCCTTAGCACCACTTAAAAATAAATAAAATAGGGGCTGGGGTTGCAGCTCAGTGGTAGAGTGCTTGCCTAGCATGTGTGAGGCACTGGGTTCAATTCTCAGCACCACATATAAATAAATGAAATAAAGGTCCATTGACAACTAAAACATTTTAAATTTGAATAAGAGGAGGCAGCCTTCCTTTTGCCTTCCAAGAGGCCTTAGCCAAGTGCTGTTTCCTCTGGAATACTTTTCCATTCTCTTTGCTCCTGCCCTCCCATAACTGGCTTCTACTCAACCTGCAGAATCAGTGTAAATAGTACTTATTTTCCATTTTTTTCCAAGTCTTGGTCAAGTTCCCCATGCCAATGCTCCCTTGGCATCCTGCATTCCACCCTAAATCTATTTGTCTTCTTTCTCACTTGTCTGCCCTGACAGACCATAAAGCTGAGGAAAGTCAAGGCTGGGATTCCTGGAAGGCTGCCTGGCCCATGCAGGTGCTCGGCACCTATTTACTGAATAGATGGATGGATGGATGGACAGAGGATCAATCAACAGAGAGCAGCTGGACCATTCTTCTGGCTAACCACGAGAGGGCAGCACTCCACAACCAAACCATCCCACCCTGGGTAGGACTGCCAGCCCTGACAGAGATGCCTGGCCTCCACTGCCGCCCAGTGACTCAGACAGGAGGGCAGACCACAGAAGAGATGCAACACCCACGCAGCCCCTGGAAGTCCCAGGAGTAGTTCCGGGTAGGAAGAAGCCGCAGGTGCAGGCCTAGCTCGTACCCAGCATGCCGATTCCCAGCATGAAGGCGTCCATTCCGTAGGGCATGACTCGAGACCGGCCCCGGGCTGAGCCCGTCGGCGACATCACCTCCTTTGGCTGAGCTTTCTTACATTCCACCTGCAACAAGACCTGATGGTCAGTTCTTTCTCCAGCTAGGGTCGCCATCCCTCTGAGTCCCCGGCAGGCCTTTTTATTATTAATTTCATAGTTACCATTTATGGAGCACGCATTGTGCAAGGCCCTGCATAAAAGGCTCTGCATGCCATAGTCATTGAACGTTTGCACCAAGTCTATGACGGAAGTACTGCTATGGCTCCCATTTTACAGATGAAGAAACAGAGGCTCAGAGAGAAACCCAGTTAAGCAGTGACACTGCCTCCCAGTCTAGATTTCCAAGAGGTGAGAGGACCAGCTCTGCCCTGCTCATTGTTAACACCTCCTCACATCCCCACACCCCACCTCTGGAACATTGGGGATTCCCTGGWTGGCTCAGCCTGGAGCTCCAAGCTCCCTCTGCACTTCCTTCCCTCTCTATCCAATCTCAGCTTACCATTTTGTTGTTGATTTCATGGAAGTGGATTTCACACACTTTTTCCACGATGTCCTCGCTTTCGAATGTGACAAACCCAAACCCTAGAGGTTGGACAAGGGGCAAGGGCAGGGTCAGAACCAGGGCTCATGGTCAAAACCCAGCCCCAGGCCATCCCCATACCACATCTCCTCCTGTGGCCAAGTGTCTGAGAGTTAATGAAAGGCTCTGCCCACAGCCTAGGATTCTCTCAACTACCGGCTGAGACAGGGTATCAAGTCCCAAATTACAGACGAGCAAACCAAGGCTCAGTGAGGTAAAGTAACCTGCCCAAGGTCACACAGCAAGTTCGAAAATGGCAAAGCTGCCAAGAGAATGTAACTGTCCCCCAGAATCGGAGGGGGATTAGTTCCAGGATGCCTCACAGGCCCCCAAATCCGTGCTATGCTCAAGTCCCTTAAAAAAGGCCAGTATTTGCGTAGAACCTATGTACAGCCTCCCTTATACTTTAAATCATTTCTAAATTACTTCTGATTCCTGATTCAACGTGAATACTATGCACAGAGCTGTTATACCGCACGGCTGAGGGTATAATGGCAAGGAAAAAAAGCCGCACAGGCTTAGTACAGATAGAATTTTTTTTTCTGAATATTTTTGATCCACAGTTGATTGAATCCAAAAACACAGAATGCACAGATACAGAGGACCATGTACACTTAACTTGCCTTCTCGCTCTCCCTCAGATGCTTACCAAAGAGGGGGAAAAATAACATCCATGGACAAACTTACACAAAGGTGCACATGCCCGAACATACTTCTGTACACAGACACACACACCCCCTAGGCACCCATCCCAAAGATACCCGTGGGCTCTCTATAACGTACTATTGCCCCAACATACCAGACATACATACATATTCAGGCATGCACACGTGCCTGAGCATGTGTGCTGCACACACATGGCCCAAGAAAAACTAAAAGGCCCAAAGCCCTGAATCAACTGGAGAAACTACCCTGTCTCCTCCTGAGCGTGCCCCAGGGGCTACTGTGGAATTTCTCAGAAGGCCCCTAAGAGAAAAACAACCAGGCCGATCACAGAGTGTGGCCCAGATGCTCACAGGTTCAGGGCCAAAGGAGTTGGGGGCAGTGGCACAGCAGACTCCCTGGGGCTCTGGAGTCAGCGTGACCCTGGGGCAACCTGGCCTAAGCTCTGGTTACCAGGAACAAGGTAAGCCTGGGCAGAGGCAGACACTGGCTGGGGTGGGGGTGGAGGGCGCCATTGGTGGGAAGCCCGTCCTCTGTCTGCAATTCCAATTCGGCCAGTTTTCTAGCACAGGAAACTAGTGGGACAAAAGCCTTCTGTAAGGCCAGGCCGGGAGAGGATGCAGATCCTCAGGGATAGGATGTCAGGAGAGGAGATGAAAGGGCAGCTGTGACCTGCAGCCCCCTTGGCTGACCACAGGCCCCAGGCCCAGCCTGGGAAGGGGGAGGGGCACACTCACCTCGGTGCCGGTTGGTGGTTTTGTCGAACATCAGCATGGCATCATCCACCTAAAACACAGCCTGCCATGGAGGACCCACCAGACACCAGGGGCTCCCACGAACCACTCCCCTCTTGCCCCTGCCAGGCTTTCCCTTAAGCCTGTTCCCAGTTCAGGGGATAACTTTCCATCTGTGACCCCACTGGACACCACAGAACCCCCTAGTTAAGTCACCAGATTCTCAATGGATCAATCAGCCTACATTTATCGAGTTCCAAAGAGGTGCCCAGCACTTTAACCATCATCCTAACACTTCCTGGAGGGGGAAATCCCCATTGTGTCAAGAAATGGGCTCAGAGAGGGGAAGTTGCCTGCCCAAGGTTACACAGCAAGTCCTGGAGGGAGGAGGTGGCACAGGGCTGTACTAGAGGAGAAAATACGGGAGCAAGATTAGGAGATGCTTTAAGAAAACCTCTTCTTCTTCTTCTTCTTCTTCTTTTTTTTTTTTTTTTGCAAAAGGCCAGGCGGACAGGACAACAGGCAGACTAGACTCCCCTCTCCCAGTACAGATCTTTTCTCTAATTGAGGTTTCCTTTAGCTAGAGGCTGTAATTAAAGCAAGTAGAGTTCAGTGCCTGGACTGCTTGCCTCCCACTGTCTGGGGGAGGGGAAAGGACTGAGGAAGGGGGAGGGTCTCCATTCACTACCCTTTCTAGAACCCCAGTCATCTCTCTCCTTGCTTCTCCAGCCAGAGGATGTCCCACCTTCTTCCCTGGGCCTGGATCTGTTGTCCCCTCTTCACTAGGACTGAGTCACCCTAGGGGCTGCCTCTGATCCTCCCCAGTCCCATCCACTCCAGCCCCTGATCCTCGCACAAATGGTCTGCCATCCGCAGGCCACAGGGCACAGGGCACAGGGTCTCTCCCCCTCCTTTCTTCTACTTCCAGACCCTACCTGCCTTATCAGGGGCCTCCCCTGCCTCATTAAAGTAGAAAGTGCAAACCTTGGAGGCCCTCCTCCAGCTCTCCCTAGGTCTCAAGGYTGCTTAACCAGGAGACAGAGGGGTTCCTGGAGAATCTCAGAAGGAAATGATACCTTCCTTCCCAAGGGGCTTCCTATCCCCAGAACCCTACAGCAGAGTACTATCCCTGCCACCCCAATTCTGGGTCCCAATCCCAAATCAGCTGGACAGACACTTCAGGCTCTACACATCTTCCCCATCCCTCACTTAAGCAATGGAAAAGAGAAACCCAGACAGAAGGGTTTTGATCAAAGCACAGGCTTTAAGTAGGACAGGCCCAAACTGGAATCCTGGATCCTGGATTTGCTGATTCGGTAACCTTGGGCAAGTGGCTTTATGTCCCCATGACTTTAGTTCCTCATCTGTGAAATGGGCATCGGAAAGAGTTAAATGAGATAGCGCACATAGCTCTTAACTCACAGCCCCTGGGATTCAGTAAGTGAGGAATAAATAACAACTGCTGTTATTATCTTTATTATGGAGGAACTTGCCCACGGTCACACGGGGGAAGGTGGCAAAACTAGAGGGAGCAGCAGCCCAACACCCTAGCTGGAAGGTTCCACCGGGACAGTGGGTCATCTGTGACCATGATCACCATTCTACTGAGCACCTTGACTTGTGCTCAATTAATTATTTTTTTGAATGGATGAGTGAATGAACCCAAGAACCAGCCACACCTTCCTCCTTAATCCTACAGCTTGGAGTTCTTGCTTGATCCACAGACTGATTCAGGCCAAATCCACAGTCCTTCCGGCCTTCTTCTTCCCCATGACCCTCCCAGTCCAACCTCCCTGGTGCCCCCACAACCTTCAACCTGGGCCTTGGAGGGACAGACCTCCGATGGGGCACTGGGGTTGAGGCCGGGGCAAGGGGCAAGGAGAGTGGCTGGGGGTCCAGGGTAACCCCCAGCGGTGTCCCCTCCTGGGGCCAGCGGAGGGGAGGGAGGCTCCCAGCCCAGTGTCCTTAATAGGCTTTGGTCTCCATGGGAACCCGGGGGCAGGGGGGCTCGGGCGGGGAGGGGGGACGGCGGGGGGAGGGGAGGCGACCGAGGCCTGCTGACCAGTGGGAGCCGCCAAGTTCGGCGGCCGCTAAGCCTGAGTGGCAGCCATGGCGGCTGACCATTGTTCCCCCCTCGGCGGCGGGCCCCTCGGTCCGGGCGGGGGGCCCCCCGCCGCGGGGCCCTTGGCATTCCCGGCTGTCCCCCTCGCTCCCTGGCAGCCTATTCTCCGGCTCCCCCTGGCCTCCCCGGGCCGGTTTCACATGCCAACGCCGATTTAGGCCCGAACAAAAGACGCGGCCGCTGACGGCTTCTCCTGGGGCCCGGTTGCCATGGCAACGCCGGCCCCGGGGGCAGGCGGCCTCCAATCACAGCTGCTGGATCAGATTAGTGCGAGCTCTAATGCTCGGCGCTCAGACACAAAGACACCCCGCCGAAGCCGAGCCGGGCCTGCTGCTTCCCAGGAGCGCCCTTCCCTCTGGGGCCSAGGCCCAGCCTGCCCAGCCTCCTGGACCCAGGTCCCCAAGGAGGTGTGCCTGAGCCGAGGCCTCTGCCCCCCCCCCACACACACACACGTCAGCATCCGCTGGCCAGGGGACCCCCCCCCCAACCAGCCGCACAAGCTTACAGCCTATTTCTCCAGCCACCTCCAGCTGGGCCTGCTGGGAACCAAATGCCTTGCTGGGAAAGTGGAGACCCAGCCTCTAGCAGCCCTCACTCACCTAAAAGAAATACCAGGGACCTGGGTCTCAAGCCACGACCGCTGGGACTTGGGGTCCCTCTCTCCATCTCACCATAGGACCCTGAAGTTCACATGGCTCACCTTCCTAGGGACACCCTATTGTCTGACATGGCCACACTCGGCCTATCTTCCCGTGGCCTACCTCTTCATAGGCCCAGAAAGGAAAGCTTGATATGACCCAGAAGTGAGCGCACGTTCTCTGGGCCAGATCAGAATTTGGGGGTGCTTTCTTCAGTTTCCTCCAATACCTAGCAGCCCCTCGGCTCCTGCTCCCAGCTTCCACCTGGGCCAGCAAGGTACCAAGTGCAAGGGGGAGTCATATTTATTGCCTCCTTATCATCCCCCAGGAAGGGGTTGGGGGATGGTGACAACCGCCCATGGCCTGGACAGGTGCAAACTCCCAAGAGGCTAAGGAGTGACTGGATTGAACTGGCTACAGGAGCACCGCCTCCCTCAGGAGAAAGAAGATAAGCAGGAGAAAAATACAGAAGGAGGGGCAACAACAGGGCCGCTACTGTGTGGCTTCCGCTCCCAGGGGATGTCAAGAGTCAGAAGCCCATAGATGGGCCAGGAGCACGAAAGCTGAGTTGACCTGGCCTCACCTGCAGGACACAACTTCCCCCACACCTTCTGCAGGAATTGGGATGACCTGCCTGACCCCCACTGGCTCCTGACCACTCTCTTAGCATTCTCAGCCCCAGCAAGCACCCACCCCCATGTAAGACCCACCTTCCCGAACTGTTCAAAATATTGCTTCACATCCTCCACTGTGGTGTTCACTGACAGTCCCCCCACAAAGATCTTCTTCGTTCGAGTCACCATCTGTTAGGGGAGGGAAGGAGAAAGTGGGCATCTGAGGCCTGTGGCCTACCGCCACCAGCAGGGGCTCCAGCCCCCCTGCCAGGTTGCCAGCTGACAAGCTCTCTGTGGCCTCAGCCTCTCAGAAGGCCTCCCCAAGCTCCTCCTAACCCCCACCTCTAGGCCTGTCACACCCTAACTTCTTAAGTGTGTCTCCCTCCCTGGGGTCTGTATCTGGAAAAAATCCCTTCCCAAAGGACTCACACAGGGAAAGGGGGTGGGTCAATGACCCAGACCCACAGCCYAGCTCCAAAACCCCACCAGCCCTCCTGGGAGACCGCCAAGGCCATTGCAGGGTCTCCCTGAACTTCGACATTTTCCTCATCAACCTCTTCCCTGCCCAACCTCTGGCAGCCCAGTGGCCCCAGCCCTGTTTTAGGAAGAACACATGGTCCTAATTACCCCAGGAGCGCATGGCTAATCCGMGGCAATTCCCAGCCCCATCCTAACACTAAAGCACCTTCTGTCACCAAACTGCTTAATGGAATTAACCCAATTCCGACCATGTGCTCCCTGGTGCGGCTTCCTTGGAATACCTGCTCCATAATTGCTTTCAGGCCCTCTGCTGGACCTTTTCCAGAGATGCCCCTTTCCTGTCTCCTAAAACAGTTCCTCTCCCACTATCCTGGCAGGAGCTCTGGGAACCTTGATGGAATTCACRGGCTAGAGTCATAAAGCATCCAGGTTTCCACCAACTTCTGATAAAAGGGGAAACCGAGATCTCTTGGAGAGGTACCCAGTCCTAGGATACATGCTGAGTCAACAAACTCAGGGGTCCTGACTCCCTATAAGTTAGCCTTTCCTCCTGTCTTCTATAGGGGAAGACTTAAGAATGAAGAACTGGCGAGTTGCCAGGAGGCCTAGACTCAAATCTGAGGCTCCTGCCCTGCACCAAAAGTTTTAAGTGTTCTAGTACCCAACTTCTCAGAAATCCAGTTTCTGTATGCACTGCCCCTCTCTCCAAAACACCAGGGAAAGATATCTAAATGGAAAGACAACAGGTGACAGACCTCCTGGTTCCCTCCCCCTCTACAAGTCCAACACACCTCATTCCAGAGCTTGGAAGGTGACTTGCAGGGGGTCAGAGGTATGCTCCCTGGCCCAACTCTAGCTCAGCTTCAGAGGCAGGGCAAGTCTGCCCTGTGTTTGATCTGCCAAGGTTCTGGGCAAGGAGGCTGTGACCTATGAGGTCAGAATTAGACTTGGGGTCCAAACTGCACTGACTTCAAATATAGGGACAAAGAATTCCCTGAGCAGTTCCCCTTTCTTCCCACACATGCAGCCCCCTCTCCAGAGCAGATGGGAAGATGCATACTGTCTTCATTCCACAGAATAAGGACATCAAGAATCCCCTCTTCACACCTCCGCCTATCCTGAAACACTCCAGAGGTTCTAGAAGCATCTGCCACAAAATAGAATGCTGGGGAAATCCCTGTCCAGAGTTGCCCTCAGTGACAGCGATCCTCCCAGCCACCAACACACACCTACCTTAGGCTGTGCTCGCCGAGGAAAGGCCACCTTGGGGTCGATCTAAAAGAGAAGGGAAAGGTAGAAAGGGTCTTGCTTATCACACCTCAGATTGTGACCATTACAGCCTTAAGCAGTGAGGACCTCTCTCATCTCAGGACACAGAGGTGACAGAAACCACCAGAGTCTCAGGCAGGAAAGCACAGTTGTTAAGTGTGAGTTCAAATCTCACACTGCTTCCCTACTATAAGACCTTGGGCATGTTATTTAACCTCTCAGAGCCTTGGGGTCACCTGCAAAATGGACAAATAATAATACCCACCTCAAASGGTCATTTGCAGATTTTTTGAGATAAGGCATACAAAGCACTTGGTGTGGTGTCTAGCTCACAGCAAGAACCAAAAATAATGCAAACCAAGTCTTATTCCCTCAAGCATCAGGTATATTGAGGGCCCTCCTTGCTAACCTGACTTCACACAGATACCTGTCAAGGTAAGATATGTGATTCTGACTTTGAAAATCTAGCAAATAGAAATACTCTTTGCCTGAAAAAGTCTACAAGAAGAGAGTTCATAACTGCCAAGAAGAGACTCAGTTGTTTCTCCAATACCTCTAGTCTCTAACAGCCCTCTTAGAGGCTGTAAGAAAACAGCTCCTGATAATGCAGCCAGGCTCAGGGTGAGGCAGAGTGCAGTCTTTGGTGACATGAAAGGGCATGGGACTTGGACTTAGAAACTTTGGGCTGCTTGCCAAAGCCTGTGATCTTGGTAACTTGCTTGCCCTTCTGAGCCTCAGTTCCTTCATCCGCAAAGTGGGGACAATCACACCCATACTTCCCAGGGGCAGCTGTAGGGAATCAAATGAGATAACATGGGTGAAAGCAGCCTTTTGTGAACTGCCCTTCATTGCACAAACAAAGGTGCTATTACTAGGAGGCCACCTTTGCCCTCTGCTGTGAACAGAGGGAAAAATCAAGATGCACCTGGGTACTCCTGGATACTCCAGCCATGCTGACAAACAGCGAGAGACCAGGGCACGAGCCATTATGACTGATGCAGGACCCATGAGGCCAGGTCTTGCTAGAGTTTCTTGCCACCCACATGGGTGGACATCATGCAGAAGTTCAGCAGCCAATCTCAGAGAAGATCTATCTTTCCCCAAAGTTCCTTCTTTCAAAACTCAGCCTCATTCTAGGCAACTGGCTCTGACTTCCCTCTGCCTGAATAGCACAGACCAGGAACCAGCATCCTGCAGGCTCTCCCACTGGAATCTGCCCACAGAGATGGAGCCTCCACAGTACACACTAAGGCAATGCCTTCTCTCTTGCAAAGGCCCACTGGGCTCTAGGGAAAACCCAAGCTTCCCATTGCTGTCATGGATTTCATATATCTGTAGCATTTTCATCCTTCTATTTCTCCCTAGCCACTCACACACCTTCATAAGTTCCCCTGCACAGATCCTGATGGGGAGACAGTACCCAAGACCCACTCCCCCAGACCCACACACACCCAATCCCTGACACACCCCACCTCCACTCTGACTCACAGCTGGCAACATAAATAAAACCCAACAAGTAAATAAAAGGTGAAAGTCAGAACCCAAAATAGACTCCCCACAGTAAACCTCCCTCCCATCCCCTTCCCTGGCCCAGAGATGCCAAACACAGACAAAGCCCTTGCCCTTGGTGAGTCCCAATCTCCTAAGAATACCCATCTCACCATCCTTCCTCCCTGTCTCTCTCTCTTCACCCTTATCAATCTTCCACTCCTCCAGCCCCCAGCCCCAGCCCCAGCCCCTAAATCTCAGCTTCCTGARTGCAGCAGAAGCCACCAGTGCATTCTGAGGACAGGGGATGGTAGGAGAACAGGCAGCTTGATGGCAGATAATCACCAAAAACAATAGGCCACTGTCTCTCCTTTCCCAGCCTGGGTCACTCAGGCTGCGCCAAGAAGATCCTTTCAGAGCCGGCAAAGTCGAGGCCTGGCCTCATTTGCTCATTACTGTGAGCAGGAGTGGGAGCCACTGGGCAGAGATAACAGGAGCTGGGGACAGGCGGTAATTTAACAAATTCTTGGGCACAACCAGCCATTGTTGCAGGTAAACAGGAGCCAGTGACTGACCCAAGCAGGGAGGCCCAGGGACAGGGGGAGAGTGGGGGAGTGTGGAGAGAGGAGATCACACTGTCCCAGCCCCCTGGCAGACAGACACCCCCATCACCCAGTAAGCCCTCCTCTGATTTTCTCCTTTTCCCTCTCCCCTTGAGCTGGCCTCCGTCAGCGCCCCCTGCAGGGTCCAAGACACTGGGGATCAGTGGGACAGCAGCAAAATGTTCCAGGAGTTTGAATGCCAAACAAACAGTTCCTCCTAAGATCAAGTCTTGAGAAGGTTTTTCTTTCTTTCTTTCTTTCTTTCTCCCCCCCAATCAAGCTAGCTAGCTCCCTCCTCATAAATCCCCTTCATGGTCAAAGCAGGTCCGTGTCTTCTACACAAAGCAAGGAGCTCATTGACCAAAAGTCGGGGGAGGAGAGAAAAGGGGAGGGAGAGGGACTCAGTGACGCTTTGCCATTGGTCTGGAAGGGAAGGGGGGTGTCTCGGAGCCAAATACTAGTTAGAGTTCAGAGAAGCCACCGGGTGGGTCATTGCAGCCCTGACTCACCCAATTTGGGCTAGGGGTGGGACCCAGCCCCACCCCAAGCTCTGAGGCATCGAGATTAGTACTTATAGGAAGGGGGTGGTGGCTACTGCTTCCCTCACCAATACGGGGGGGGGGGGGGGAGAGGAGGTGTAGCATCTCATCGCAGGCCTGGGATTTTTCTCCTCCCTCTGCCCCCAACTCTAGTGACAAAGTTTCAGAGCATGGCAGACCTCTTACTCAGAAAACTCCCACTTTCCTCAAGGACCTCGTCCAACTGTCCCCTGAAGAGAGACCTGACCCTCTCCTCCGGCAGCCTCCCTCACCCAAAGGACCCCCGAAGCCCCGAGGGCCACTCACTGTTTTGGAGTCGAGCTCGTGCCGCGATTGCGCCAGCACTTTATCCACCCCCGCCTGGTCCATGAAAGTGACGAAGCCGAAACCCCTGCGCGGCGTAGTGAGGGAGAGGCAGATGGTTACAAGGCAGTGAGTGGCAGTGGTGGAGGGGGGTGAGCCGAGAGCAGGAGGAGGGGGTGAGGGGCTCACCTGGATCTCTTCGTCAGGGGGTCCCGCATCACCAGACACTCCTTCACCTCCCCGAACTGGCCGAAGTATTCGCGCAGCCCTTCTGTAACCACACACCCGCCTTCTGACCAACCCGGGCCCCGCGCCCTTCCCCCCTCCCCCGTCCTTTGCCCCCGTTGACCCCGGCGCAGCCCGGTCGCCCCCGTGCCAAGCTGCCGGCGCGCTCTCCATTGCCAGCACCCCCTCCCGCCCTCGCCCGGCTCTCGTGCAGCCTGGTGGCGCCCACCGGGGCCCCGGGAAGCCAAGGGCCAAGCTGGGCTGGAGGGGGGACGGCTCCGGCCGTGTTCCCGCCGCTCCGGGAGCCGCCTCACAAAAGTTTGAGCCGCAGGTGCGAGCGGAGTTGGCGCTGCCGCCGGCGGGTCCCGGGGGCCCGGCCCAGCCCCCGATGCCCCCTGAACCCCTCAACTGCTCCCCATCACCCGCTGGGCCGTGCGCGCTAGCAGATAGCCCTGCGCTCTCGGGGTCCCCGGGCGGGGCGCGAAAGAGGGCACGAGGGCGCCTGGGGTCAGCAGGGCGCAGGGCCGGGCTGGGGTGTCTGGGTCTGGGGCGCCGTGGGGGTCCGGGGTGCTCTGCGGGGCCGGTAGGCGCTCCTGGGCTGGCTCACCCTGCGTAGTCTGCCAACTGAGTCCCCCGATGAACATCTTGCTGCGGGAGGAGGAGAGACACAAAGGGCCCGCGTGAGCGCCTGGCGCCGGGGCGCAGGGGGCGCGGGCCCGGGCCCCGGGGAGGCCCGGCCCGACCCGGATCGGCCATGTTGGCGGGGCTGGGGCGGGCGCGGGCCGGGCAGGCCCGACCGGGCTGGGCCGGGCCGTACCAGGGGTCGTGCGGCGAGTCCGGGGAGGCGAGGCCGGGCTGGGGCGCGTCAGTCTCCATCGGAAGCCGCGGGCGGCGCGGGCAGCGGAGCGGCGGCGGCGGCGGCGGCGGCGGCGCTCGGCGCGGGGCAGATGAGGAGCGCGGCGAAGGGGGCCGGACGGACAGGCCATGCTGCCCCCTCCCCCGACCCCGCTCGGGCGGGCGGGCGGGGACGGCCGAGGGGAGGGCCCGCCGGGGGCCGACCTGCCGGCTCCTCCCCCCGCCGCCCTGCGCGCATAAAGCCCCGCGCTCGCCCGCGCGCCCGGGCGCCCGCGGAGGCGGCGGCGCCGGGACCCCCTTCCCGCCGGGCTCCCGGGTCCCCCGGGATGAGAGAGACCCCGAATCCTGGTGCGGGCCGGGACCAGGGCGCGGCCGCACCCCCCACCCACACCAGCGCGGGGGCCGGGCCGCGGGAACGCCCTCCCGGAATGAAGCGCTTCCCGGTGCCTTCAAGGTAGCTCGGCTCCGGATCGGGAACCCCCCCCCAGTTCTCCCTCTCAGGTCCCCTCTGTCCAGAATTGAAGAGACCCCCCAATCTCCCTGGGCCGGGGAGGAGATAGCCCCAGTGGCCCCAAATCCCCACCCACTCCAACTGGAGAGAATCCTTCTTTACCCCAGTCGGAGCAAGAATCTGCCCTGGAGCCCCCGATTTCTTCTAATCTAATTTAGAGTCCCCCTTCAGTGGCTCTCAGCCCATTCCCATTATCCCATATCGAATTTGGAGAACCCCCTGTGTGCCTCGCGTCCCGAATGGGAAGCTTCCATCATCATCCCGGTAGAAACGATATCAGTTTCTCCCCAACCTTCCTTGACCCTTGATGCCCAGAGTAAGAATCCCACTCAACTCCCCYAAATCCCTCTCTCCGCTCTGTGGCCCGGGTGGTCTGCTGAGCAAATCCTCCGCCCCAAGCCTGGGTTCCCATTTTGCCGCCACCCCACCCCCAGTGTGAGGAGTCTCTGCTGCTTCTCTCCCTGGTTCGCTCTTGTCAGCCCCATTCAGACTCCTGTCTGGATTCAGGAAACCGGGTACCAGACGCTCAGCGCCCGCTCCCCACCGAGGCACGGGGAGAAAAGTCAGTTCCTCCGGTGTCCAGTTTAGAAGTCCGATGGCGCAGCGGTGCACCTTACCCCCAAATGATCCACTCTTTTGCAGAGTTCTAGCTCCACCCACTCCGGTTGGAAGAACCTGAACTACCTACCCCACGACGACGTTTGGAGTTACTTCCCTCGGTCGGTCTCATTTTGAGACTAGGGCAAACTCCTTCCTCCCCACTCCCATCTTCASGGTCTCAGGGATCCCCCTATGCTTTCAACCCAAGCCACCTCACCCACTCCAAAATCTTCCTCCCTCCAGCCTGGGAGCAACTTTGAGAAAGTCCATTCAGGATTGCCATGGAAGCCAGAGGCCATTCTGCTCCTGGTAACTCCCTGCATATCCGAGCCTATCTCTCACTTCCCTGGCTGAAACCAACTAAGGCAGAGTCAAAGCAGGAGGCTAAGGCAACTAACATCCACGCCCATTCCTTTCTCGGCTGGGGGTTTCGGTGCCACAAAAGCCTCTCCCTCCCAACTCACCTCCCATTCCTTCCCATCTCCCTTCCTTTAAATCCACCCTGTATAACTCAGTGTCACCCTTAGTGACAAGCCCTTTGCTGCTCACCTTCACATCCATCCTGTATTCAGCTACCTTTTATTAAGGTGTGCCAGGGCTCTAGCACGGTAACCTTGCTCCCTAGAAGTGTGCCCATCCCCCTCCTCTTAGCACACTTTCCCTCTCCCCACCCCACCACCACACATTTAAGAATGTGAGAGACTCACGTTAATGGTTTCCTTGGGGACCTTCTGCAGTGCTCAGCAGGTGTATCCTGGCACCCTGTGCACATAACACTACAAACAAACTTGCCTTTTCCTGTTTGTATTCCCCTAACCTTTCCCAGTTTCTCAGCATCCTCTGGACTGGGGACTGGGGGAGAGGGAACGGARCATTTCTCAGCATCTCCACACAAGCTGGAACATCAGGTGTGTCCTGGGAGAGACACAGATGAGGGTCAGCACCCCCAGTGTTAGGGAACTGACTGCTCCTAGGACTGAACTTCAGGTTCTTTCAGGAGAGATGCCCAGAGGGCAGAGCGCCACTGTCCTTGAGATTGATTTGTGTGCTGGTGCTGTTGGCTGGTGGCTTGGAGGATAGGAAGTGGATAAGGGTCATTTGTTCAAAGCCAGCCAAGACTGTTTAAGAAGCAGCTTGAGCTAGGATCCATTTATTAGCATCCTCATTCAAGACTTCAGAGGAGGAAGCATTTACTTCCTTTTGTCAATAACCTGGTTTGTAGGACCGAACAGGTGGGTGGACTTAAAAGAAGTCTCCTCCCACCTGTGGGTTTATCTCCATCTAGCAGCTCCAGTCCACTTTGTTCGCAGTGGAGGCAACAAATCCTTGGGTGTGTGTGTGGGGGGGGGGGGCTCACAGGACAGTAAAGCTATAAATACTTGATCCTCATAGTAAACGGAGGATCTCAGCAGTATCAAGGGAAAATGATCCAAAAAGCAACTGGCCCAGACTCCAGAATTAGGAAAGCATCACTCAGAAAATAAAAGAATTATTTGCTTCATAAATTTTGTAAATCTTCTTGAAAAAGACAGTGAAGAAATGATATTATGCTCAAGCACTGAGATGATGTAACTTGGCACAAATATCTATTGTCTACCTTTTGCGTTCCAGTACTGTCTTAAGTGCTATATTTCCAGCCCCTACTCTACAAAACTTAATTTCTAGAGACAAGAGTCAGAAAAATAAGGGTCACTGGTAGAACATTTCCTAGAATGCATGGGAGGGGCAAAGAAATAAATAGTAGCTTTATTAAGTACTTTGGAGACGGGAGGGGAATAGGGAAGATGGGAAGCATAGGGGAGAAGGTGATATTGCAATTTTGAATCCAGAAAGTGCTCATAAGGGAAGGTGATATGTTAGCAAAGATTTGAAGGAAAGGAGCTATTTGAGTTTGCTGTGTTATCCATGACATTCATGTTAGCAGAATATCTGCAACTCTTCAGTGCAGATGATAGTTGATATTCCTAATTTGACTTTCACTCTCTAAAACTGGTTCCCAAACCTTGATGTGCATTTTTAAAATCACCTGGTGCTGTGCAGTGGACTCAGGATGGGTAGGGGCTCTGAAAACTGCAGTTTTTAAACAAGCCAGTCTGTCCAATGATGCTGGTACCTGAGGTATTTCCTCGACCACTCTTGGAGAAGCACTGCTTTAAAATATATGGATGAATCTTTGAGAACATCAATAACAAAGCTAAAGATCAAATTATAGTATGTTTGGTTTCAGTGTTGAAAGTATTCCACTCTGTTCTCATTCTTTGAAAAGGCAATACCCAAGCAAAGCCCTGGATTAACCAGAACATACCAGTTCTTGTCTGTACAGGAGAAGGAAAAATTTATTGAAGTTTATTAGAAACCATTCATTTAAATCAGTCCATTTTACAACTTTCTTCCACTTTTTWAAAAACATAGATTTCATATTTAGAGTAGTTTTAGGTTCACAGAAAAATTGATCAAAAGGTACAGAGATTTCCTATATATCTCCTTCCCCCACACATGCATAGCATCCCCTGTTATCAACATCCCCAGAGTGGTATTTGGTCATAATTGGTAAATTTACATTGACATATCATTATCACCGAAAGCCYATAGTGTTTGCATGAGGGTTCCGTCTTGTTGGTGTACATTCTATGGGTTTGGACAAAGGCAGAWTAACATTCATTTACCACTATGGAGTCATGGAATATGTCCACTGCCCTAAAAATTCTCTATGCTTCATATATTCATCCTTCCTCTCCCTAGCCCCCACAACCACTTATCTTTTTACTGTCTGAATAGTTTTGCCTTTTCTGGAAGATCTTACAGTAGGAAGCATACAGTATATATCCTTTTCAGATTGGCTTCTTTCACTTAGCAATATATATTTAAGTTTCCTCTATGTCTTTCCATGATTTGATAGCTTATTTCTTTTTAGTGCTAAATAATATTCCACAGTCTTTATTGTATCCTGGTGTATCTATTCACCTATTAAAGGACTTGTTGATTGCTTTCAAATTTTGGCAACTAAGGAAAAAAAAAAGATGCTAAAACAGACATGTGCAGCTTTTATATGTATGGACATAAATTTTCAATCTCCTACTTTAAAAAAAATGTTTTTCTCTTTACTTTTTCTTTCTCTCAAATATATGGACTCAACCAGGAATTAACCAACTGGGATTATTAGGGCACTTGACTGAGGGTCAGAAGACCTGGTGGTTGGTCCTGGGATCCCTGCTGTTTCTGATTGAGTGGGTCTAGAGATACTCTACTCAACCTTCTAATCTTTCATTTCTTTTCAGAGTTGCTTGAAGAAGTATGTGAGCTCATGTATATAGAAACACCTTTAAAACACTAAAGCATTATGAAAACATAAGGAAGTTCATTCCCAATCCAGCTAATTTGGTCCAACTCAAATTCAGTTACTTCAAGTCTTGGAGTGCTGGATGGGTAGAGTGGTGCATGCCTGTGATCCCAGCCGCTCGGTAGCCTGAGGCAGGAGGATCTCGAGTTCAATGCCAGCCTCAGCAAAGGCAAAAGTTACTAAGCAACTCAATGAGACCCCTTCTCTAAATAAAATACAAAGTAAATGGGGATGTGGCTCAGAGGTTGAGTGCCCCTGAGTTCAATCTCTGGTACAAAAAAAAAAAAAA